TCCAAATTCGGCCATCTTCTATTTCCAAGCTGTTCCCTCTATGTCTTGGAAAGAAGAGTTGATAGTGCCTGGTGCCTGATAAATTCCTTTACCATTCCAGTTACCATGATTGAGGCCCTGGCTGACAGACCTGAAAATTTAGAGGTTTTTGGTTCCTCTCTTTGATCTTGTACATATAGTTACTTTTCTTTCCATTACCAGCTTCTTCCTTTCCAATCAAATCAACCAGCCCTCTCTGGGATTCAGTTTTCTCTGATGACCTAGTGTCCCAGACCCAGTGCTGAATGAATGCTTTCACTGTTTTGTAAGTAGTGTGCCATACCATTCTGTATTGGTTGCTTTTTTCAGGGGAGAGGAGGAAAGAAGACATACAAAAGACACTGAGAACACTGGAGACGATCTTTGGCCTTTTTTGTTCAAGATCTTCTCATTTTTCAGACTAGTCAAAAGAAAAAAAGATAGTACATGGAAAATTGGATGATTGTATTAGGCAAGCATGAAGCTATTAAACAAATGGTACACATGACATTGCCCTGGTGCTTCAGAGTTGAGAAGAGATCACCAAAATGTATGACTAGGATATGATTTTTTTTGGAAATTCCATATCCTAGTTGTTCACATGTTCTTATGCAGTTGAAGTGAATTATCTTTTATTTCCAACTGTGAATATAAAAACCCGAAAGGATTTTTGTTTGGACTGACTATTGTATATAGTAGAAGTATGAAGCATTAATAAGATTTTGTGGTATGATACAGAAAATAATGTTAATTCAGCAAGCGTTAAATTATTGCCTAGTATTTGCCTGGCATTATAGAGATTATAAAGATGAAAAAACTTGGGTCCTCTCCCAAGTCAAGACAAAACTATCACAGAAAACATTAATTTATTTAACAAACATATTGAGTATTTTCAAAGTACCTAACATTGTGCTTGATCAGAAATATAGCGAAGAGTAAAAAGTATAGTGGTGAGGATCTCAGTCTGGTAGAAGATACAGATACGCAAATGTGTGGTTATTAAAGAGAAAAGTAAGCATTATTGGAATGTTGAAGAAAGTGATTGGAGAAATCATTTTGTAGGAAGTGATGCCTGAGTGATATTGAAAGGGAGGTAGGTTAAGAAAGCAGAGGTGATTAACGTGTACGGAGATGGTGGAGATAAGGTAGAGGGTGTCATGTGTAAGGAATTGTAGATAGTTCAATATGGCTAGAGCAAAGGATATTATTAGCATGAGAGGTAGGAGAGTAAGACTAAATTGGTAGGTGGGGACCAGTACATGAAGGATCAGTGTTATGCTAAGGAAGCTGAACTTAACATTCTGTCTTGAAGATTCTGGGAAAATCAGATTGCATTTTAGAGAGATGGTTCTGGTGTTAGTTTGGAGAATTGAAGGGAGGAAGATTGGGGGAATCTGTTGCAGTGATAATGAGCAACAATGAGTATCTGACATAAGGCAGTGGAATGGAGAAGAATAAACTTGAGAGCCATCAAGAGATAACATTGTCAGAATGTTGAATGATCCAGCTTGAGATTGAAGAGAGGAAGACTAGCCAAAGATGACACTTAGATTCTGTTTTGGGCATTTGACTGTACAGTAACCATTTATTGCAATTGGGAATCCAAGAGGAATTGTTTTTTGTTTTTTATTGTGATTTTCAGAAGGGGAGTTAAAACTAACAGAGGAGTTAGAGATAATGCATTCAATTTTAGATACTTATATTCAGGTATCAATGGGACATCGAGAGTTGAGATGGTCAAGTACTTGGATAAATGAGTGTAAAACTCAGAAAAATTGTGCAGTTGGAGAGGATGACTGTGAGTCATTAGTACCTAAAAGTAGTTGGAATCATGGGTCATCTAAGAAAACAAGGCAGAGGACTGAGGACATGGAATCCAGAGGACCCCAGCATTTAAGGAAATAGTCAAATGAGAGAATGGAATCTTGGAGGCCAAAGGTAGAGAGTTTCCAAGGAAGAAGTCATCAGTGTCTATTGCGTTAGAATTAAAAATGAGACTTGAAGTCTGATGGATTTAGCAATAAGGAGTCGAACAGGTAACCTTGGTGAGAGCAGTGTCAAGTAGAATGGTAAGGTATAAACCAGATTATAGTGGGTTAAGGGTGAAAGTGGAGACAGTTAATGCTAAGTTCTCTTGTAAGAAGTTTGAAGAAAAAGATGAGGACAACTAGAGAAGATGGTTGAAGAGGGAATATTTTAGAATTGAGAATAAATGCCATGAAAGATATGAATAAATTGCAAATATGAACAGTAAAGGAAAATATTAGTCCCATTTGGAAGGTTGGGGGGTACTTTGGTTCCTGGAAGAGTTTTTTTTTTTTTAAGATTTTATTTATTCATGAGAGACAGAGAGAGAGAGAGAGAGAGGGAGGGAGAGAGAGAGAGAGAGAGAGAGAGAGAGAGAGGGAGGGAGGGAGGGAGGGGCAGAGACACAGCAGAGGGAGAAACAGGCATCCATGCAGGGAGCCCGATGTGGGACTTGATCCGCGGACTGCGGGATCACAACCTGACCCAAAGGCAGATGCACAACCGGGTGTCCCATGGAAGAGTATTTTTTAAATACTGGTCTTCAAATGATGTGTGGGATGGGTTTCTGTGAGGTGATTTCAGGAGAGGTTCAGGGAGGACATATAGTCTAAGTCTAGATAGGTAAAGGAAACAGACCACAGAGGGCTGAAGGTGGAAGAATGCTAGTAGACTTATTGGAGGGAACAGCAAATAGTCCAGTTTAACTGAATCCTCAGGTTTGTAAAGAAAGTGGTGAGGGAAAAATGAGACTTGACTTTGGTAATGGAGGAACTGAATTGGGTGCTGTGGGGTTTGCTTCTAGGCCTTAAAGTACTGGGAGCCATTAATGCTTTTTGCTAGAGGTTGTTGTGCAATTAGAGAAACTGTGCTTTAGAAAAGCAGTGTGGACGAGGGATCAGAGGAGGGGAAGGAACTCTTTTGTCCTTGAGTAGCCTCTATAGCTATCTTAGAAACTGGAGCAAAATCACTCCCATTGTGCTGATGAATTGCTGCTGGGTGAGGGTTTTCCTCCTTTGTTTTAATTCAAACAATAGCTTCCTAACACCCCTTTTCCTCTCAGTTTTAAAGAGAACTCAGTTTCATTGCTCTTTATTGGTCTTCACTGCATGGAATAAGCTGCCCTTACCTTCTCTACATACTTAAAGGAAGAAGCAACTGTTTACTATGAATATAAATTCATAGAAATGTGGTGGTGAGACTGTTTGAAGACATTCTTCTAGTTTTCAGGTGAAATACTGTCTCACTAAAGGTTCATTTTGTCTGCTACCCTAATATGCAGTAGTCAGCAAATGTTGAAGGTACTGCAGAATGAAAAACAGGCAAGGATTTACACTAACGAAGTCAGTTCTGTTGTCTAAGCATTTCCGTGGACTCTATCCTGTATCTTAAAGTTAAAAGCTCCTTGTAGTTTATATGTTCTGTTAAATTTTGAATGTTGAAGAATTTTAGTTTTAAGTTACTGGCATGAGTTACACAGGTAATATGGCTCTGTTATTTTACTTGTAAAATACAATATAGTTGGTTATATTCTTAAATTATGTGTTTGAACAAAAGAGTATATATTTAAATAAGTGGCTAATTTTGTGGTCAAACTAAGGTAAGGTACACAGGAAAGCTACTACTTTTGACACATTACTGAGAGAAATTATCCACGTTACCTCCTTTAGTAAAACAGCTTGCTTTTCTTAGCTACAATGGAATTAACTACTTATTCTATTCATTTTCATTTCAATATCTCTTCATTTGAAATTATTTTATAGCCCTCTTCTCTCTCTTTGAATTTTGTCTCCTCTTTCCTTTTCCTGCCTACTCTGTACTTTTTACTTATTACACTTATTCCCCTAAGTTTTTTCAGCCAAGGCTAATCTTTATTTGTTCATTCATTCATTCATTCATTCATTCATGAGAGGCACAGAGAGCGAGCGGCAGAGACACAGGCAGAGGGCGAAGCGGGCTTCCCCCGAGAGCCCACTGTGGGACTCATCCCTGAACTCCAGGATCATGCCCTAAACCGAAAGCAGAGCTCAACTACTGAGCCATCCAGGCGTCTCCCAAGCCTAATCTTTTAAAATTGAATAGACTGCTTCAGATAAAATAAGTAGATGATGTAAAACTGATTTGTTTTGACTCTAGAGCACATTAGGCCAATATGCTCTTTAATTTTCCTTCCCAAATAGATTTTGCTTATGCTAATATAGTTAATATATGTTTTTTTAAAGGATATTATTTATTTATTCATGAGAGACACAGAGAGACATAGGCAGAGGGAGAAGCAGGCTCCCTGCCGGGAGCCCGATGTGGGATTTGACCGGGGGCTCCAGGATCATGCCCTGAGCTGAAGGCCGCAGTTTAACCGCTTGAGGCACCCAGGCATCCCAGTTTGTTTCTTGGTACAGTTTTGCAGTTGGAGTTAACTTCTCCTGATAGGCCATGAGAAGAGAATCTGGAATTCAGAATGTTTAAGGATTTATGGAGAATGAGCTTCTTCAAACTAATAGGAGTTGACCTGAGGGTAATGGTTTCTAGGTTGTTCCTCTGCCCAGCAGCATTAGCAACAATTGGTAACTTGTTAGAAATGCAAATTACAGCCCTAGCCCAGACCTGTGGGGTAAAAAGCTGGGAGTGGGGGCCTAGCTGGCAGTTAAGTCCTTCTGGTGATTCCTATGTGTGGGGAGGTTTAAGAACCATTACTGTAGGGATATTACAATAAAAGAGATCGATCTTTCTCTCTCTCTCTCTCTCTCTCTCTCTCTCTCTCTTCTTCTTGATATCTAGCGCGTTGGTGTTTGAAACAGTAATTGACTTAGGATTTTTTTTTCTTAATAGATGTAGCAGAGAAAACGTTCTTTATATTCTCAAGTGCAGATTTTGTACTGAGAGTGGTGGGTACTCATTAAAAAAGTAATTAAAATAGCATATAGGAACTTTTATCTTTAAATGTACTTTTTTTTCAGGAGGCAAAACCTTCAACTGAGGACTTGGGGGATAAGAAGGAAGGAGAATACATTAAACTCAAAGTCATTGGACAGGTGAGTTTCATTATTTTTCTTGTTTCACTCTCTAAAGTGTAATTTCTGACACAGGAAAAATTATTTAAAAGGCAAATTATTTAATGGCATTTTGGGGACGGGCCCTGGTGGCTCAGGGGTTTAGCGCTGCCTTCGGCCCAGGAGTGACCCTGGAGACCCCAGATCGAGTCCCACATCGGGCTCCCTGCGTGGAGCCTCCTTCTCCCTCTGTTTGTGTCTCTGCCTCTCTCTCTGTGTCTCATGAATAAATAAATAAAATCTTTTTTAAAAAATGGCATTTTGGGGGCATCTGGGTGGCTCAGTCACTTAAGTGTCTGACTTCAGCTTGGGTCATGATCTTGGGATCCTGGGATCCAGCCAGCGTCGGACTTCCTTCAGTGGGGAGTCTGCTTGTTCCTCTTCCTCTGCCTCCCACTCCTGCACGCACATGCTCTTTCTCAAATAATTAAAATCTTTAGAATAAAAATGGCATTTTCTCTTACTATATATGCACCTGTTGTTGAAGTTAGAAAAAACTGATAGTGTATTATTGATCTGCTAGACATATTTAGATTATCTTAATTTCTCCAAATATAAAAACATTTCTCTCGGTTAGCATCTTCAGTGCAAATATAGTAAATGCTATTGAGTGATAAAGCTAAGGCCAACCTTAAAGGGCCTCTCAGCCCTTTTCCTGACCCCTTTCTCTTTCCTGGCATTTCTTTTTCCTTGTACTGTATCTTTATTGACCTTTTTTGAGATGTTAACTGATAATTAAGATTAGTTGAAAATTGTTGGAGAAATGAATCTTCATACAGTAATCCCCCATTATCTGTGGGGATATATTCCAAGAACCCACTGGATACTTGCAACCATGGATAGTACTGAACCCTGTATTTACTGTGTTTTTTCCTGTACATATATACCTCTGTAAAGTTTAATTTGTACATTAGGCTCTGTAAGAGGTTAGCAATAATAGCTAATAATAAAATAGAACAATTATAACTATTGTAATAGAAGTTATGTGAATGTGATCTCTCTCTCAAAATATCTTACTGTACTCACCCTCTTGATGATGTGAGATGATAAAATGCATATGTGATGAGATGAAGTGAGGTAAGTGAAGTAGGCATTGTGATGTAGTAGGCTACTACATTTAGATTTTTGTATGCACATATCCTTTTTCTGTTTATGATTATCTTATTTTGAAAAATTTTAGTATTTCACATACTATAAAAATCACCATTTTATTTATTAAATAATTCATTTATTATTTTAAAATATTTTATTACTTATTTATTTGAGAGAGAAAAAGAGAGAGAGATCCTGGGGTGGGCAGGGAAGGAGTAGAGGGAGAGAGACAAATAGAGTCTGTATTGAGCCTGATTGGGGCTCGGTCCCAATACTCCAAGATCATGACCTGAGCTAAAACCAAGAGTTGGGCACTTAACTGACTGAGCCATCCAGGTGCCTCGAGTTTATTTATTTTTATTTTTTATTTTTTAAAATGATTTATTTATTTATTTGAGAGAGTGTCCATGTGTGGGAGCAGGTGGAGGGGCAGAGGGAGGAGGAGACAAGTAGACCCCCTGCTGAGCAGGGAGCCCAACACAGGACTCATCCCAGGACCCTGAGACCATGACTTGAGCTGAAATCAAAAGTTGGCCACCCAATTGAGCCACTCAGGTGTCCCCAACGTTCATTTATTTTTTAAAGTAATTTCTATACCCAATATGGGACTCAAACCTTCAACCTCAAGATTAAGTGTTGCGTGCTCTACTGGCTGAGCCAGCCAGGGACCCCAAAAATCACTATTTAAAGTGTATAATTCGGGATTATATCAATCGGTTTGGCGCCTGCCTTTGGCCCAGGGCGCGATCCTGGAGACCCGGGATCGAATCCCACGTCAGGCTCCTGGTGCATGGAGCCTGCTTCTCCCTCTGCCTGTGTCTCTGCCTTTCTCTCTCTCTGTGTGACTATCATAAATAAATACAAATTTAAAAAAAATAAAGTGTATAATTCAGTGACTTTTGTAATGCTGTGCAACCATTACCACTATTTAGTTCCAGAACATTTTCGTCATCCCAGAAAGACATGCTGTACTCCTTAGCAGTACTTCCTATTCTCCTCTCCCCCACCAACCCCTAGCAACCACTAATCTATTTTTTGTTTGTGGATTTGCCTATTCTGGACATTTCATATAAATAGGATCGTATGATATATGGCCTTTTGTGTCTGGCTTCTTTCATTTAGTATATTTTCAATTTTTCTCTAAGTTGCAGCATGAACCAGTATTTTATTCCTTTTTATGGCTGAATAATATTTCATTGTATGGATATACCACAGTTTGTTATCCATTTGTCAGTTAGTGAACCTTTGGGTTGTTTCCTCATTTTAGTTATGAGTAACATTGCTCTGAACATTCATGTATAAGTTTTTGTGTGGATTTATGTGTTTGATTCTCTTGGATATATATCTAGGTGTGGAATTATTGGGTCTAATACAGTGGACTTTAACTTTTTGAGGAACTGCCAAACTGTCTTCAGTAGTGGCTTTAAAATTTTACATTCCCAGGGAATCCCTGGGTGTCTCAGCGGTTTAGCACTTGCCTTTGGCCCAGGGCGCGATCCTGGAGTCCCGGGATCCAGGAAGTCTGCTTCTCCCTCTGCCTATGTCTCTGCCTCTCTCTCTCTCTCTCTCTCTCTCTCTCTCTCTGTCTATCATGAATAAATTTAAAAAAATAAATAAATCTTAAAATTTTACATTCCCAGCAGCAGTGTGTGAAGGTTTAGTTTTTTTTATTTTTGAGTTATAAGAATTCTTTATTCTGGATATTAGACCCTTATAGATGGTTTGCAAATATTTTCTCCCATCTTTGTGTTGTCTTTTTGCTTTCTTGGGTATTGTATCCTTTGCAGCACAGTTTCTGATTTTGATGAATTATTCTTTTCTTGCTGTGGCTTTGGAGTCATATGTAAGAAACTGTTGCCTTGGAACACTTGGTTGGCTCACTGGTTAAGTGTCTGCCTTCGGCCCAGGGCATGATCCTGGAGTCCTGGGTCGAGTCCCACATCGGGCTCCCTGCCCGATGAGCCTCCTTCTCCCTCTGCCTATGTCTCTGTCTTTCTCTCTCTGTGTCTCTCATGAATAAATAAAATCTTAAAAAAAAACAACAACAAAGCTGTTGCCTAATCCAGGGTCAGAAATATTTCTACTTACAGATTTTTCTAAAATTTTTTAGGGTTTTAAGTTCTTACACTAAAGTTTTGATGATTTTGAGTACTTTTTGTGTGGGTTTGAGATAGATTCTAACTTTTCTTTTGTATTTGTCCCAGACTTTTGGTTGAAAGTTTGTCCTTTTCTCATTGAGTTGATTGCCATCCTTGTAAAAAGTCAACTGACTGTAGATATATGTGGTTTTATTTTTTTTGGCTGTCAGTTCTATGCCATTGATATATATGTCCTATGCCATGAATTACCTCTTTAAGAATACTGATTTGTAGGAATTGTTCTCTTGATTTTTCTTGTCAATATCTGTTATGAATATTTTCTCTAGTATCCCTTAACTGTGGAGTGACGAGTTATCAATTATCAGTGTCCTTTTTCTGTGGCTTCTAGGCCAAAGTCTTGATTTAGAATACAGATTTCTCGGTGTCAAGGTTAGGGAAAAAAGTCTCAAAAGAGAAAATGGTAAAAAAAAAAAAAAATTTTTTTTTTTTTTTTTTAATGCTAGCCCTTTAATGCATCTGGAAACAATTTTAGTGTATGGCATGAAGTATGCTATAGAAATTTCATCTATTTGTGTGAAATTATCCATAGGAAGATATTTTTTTTTAAAGAATCTAATTAATTAATTAATTAATTAATTATATTAATTTGAGACACACAGAGAGAAGCAGAGACATTAGAAGAAGGAGTATCAGGCTCCATGCAGAGAACCTGATGCCAGACTCCAGGATCATGCCCTGGGCTGAAGGCAGGCGCTCAACCACTGAGCCCACCCAGGCGTCCCGAGAATTTGTATTTCTTTATAGTCACAAACAAGAATTATAAACATGCAAAAAGAAAAAAAATGAATTATAAATGTGCAACCTCCACTAAAATGCATTTGTGAATATGATATGTAATTATAAGGATTGGCTTTGAAATTTTACCAGTTTTGTTTTCTGATGGTTGCTTGATAGTTTGACAGTCTAGGAAGAAGAAAAGAATCTGTGGATCTATAAATCAATTTGACTCACTCAGGTTCTTATTCATTTTACTCATATGAGAGAAACAGGACTCTTTAGGGTGACTTTCTGACAAAAATGAGTTTCTGGTCTGTTATTTTATGATATATATGTCTCTTGTAGGTTTGGCCACCTTTAACAACACTTTAGTTGTGTGAGGGGAGTTGAATGCTGGGGCAGCCCCAGTGGCGCAGCGGTTTAGCGCGGCCTGCAACCTGGGGTGTGATCCTAGAGACCTGGGATCGAGTCCCACATCAGGCTTCCTGTATGGAGCCTGCTTATCTCTCTGCCTGTGTCTCTGCCCCTCTCTGTCTCTCTGAATAAATAAAATCTTAAAATAAAAAAAATAAATAAACTGCTAATTTTAACATCCAAGACAGATTGTTTTATTAAGTTTCTTTTGAAATGGACATGAGGTATCTTTGAGGATGATTAGAGTGTTTTTGTTTTTGTTTAAAGATTTTATTTATTTATTCATGAGACACATAGGGAGAGAGGCAGAGAGTGAAGTAGGCTCCATGCAGGGAGCCTGATGTGGGATTCGATCCCCGGACTCCAGGACCACGCCCCGAGCCAAAGGCAGATGTTCAGCCACTGAGCCATCCAGATGTTCCTGATTAGAGTGTTTTAATAAACTCTGTTAGGAATGTTAAAAAGAATATTTTGGGGATGCCTGGGTGGCTCAGCGGTTGAGCGCCTGCCTTCAGCCCAGGGCATGATCTTGTAGTCTGGGGATTGAGTCCCACATTGGGCTCCAGGTATGGAGCCTGCTTCTCCCTCTGCCTGTGTCTCTGCCTCTCTTTCTCTCTCTGTCTCTCACGAATAAATAAATAAAATCTTAAAGAATATATTTTGGTGGAAGTATAAGTGATAGGGTTTATGTTTCTATTTGTAGTTTATGTGTAATTAAATGATTTGTTTCAAGCAGAGCAAATAGTTTACACAAAGGGATAATTATTTTTCTTTTATCTCCTTAGGATAGCAGTGAGATTCACTTCAAAGTGAAAATGACAACACATCTCAAGAAACTCAAAGAATCATACTGTCAAAGACAGGTTTGTATGTTATGGTATAAATACAATGCTTTATATGTCGTTAATTTTTCTTGTAAGGAAAATTGTCAAAAGAAAAATCTTTTATTATTTTCACATTAGCAGATCAAGGAGAAAACTCCTTATACCTTGTTTAATTGCCTTTTTCCCATTGTGGCCCATTTCAAAATTTGAATTCATAAGGTATGTGGAATTATTTTGAAAAGCAACTCAGAGTTGTAAAGAAAGCTATATGAATGTTTCTATCTTAATGGCTCACCAGTATATAGAACAGTAAAGGCAATTTTTGGTGATCACTGTGAAATTTCCTTGTTTTTAATCATGCCTGGTTAGCCATATGTTAAACTTAAGTACTAATATTATCTTTGTAAATAGTACTACAGATTACTGCTAATTGCATTCTGTTTTCAACATCAAGGGATTTTCTTTTTAAAAAAAAAAATCATAAAGGAGGCTTGTTTATATAGATTCTCAAATTCTGGTCTTCGTAAGCTCAATTTATTAGAGCAATAACGAATTCCTTTAATCTACTTAGATTGAAAGTCTCTACCACTGTCTGACTGTGGGGTCTTAGACAAGTTATATGCCTTGTTTCTCCCTTAGTAGAGTGGGAACATTACCTACATCATGCAGATGACCTACACAAAGCTCTTAACATGAGGCTTAAAAATGCTCAATAAATGTTAATCATTATTAATGAAATAGAAAATGTAATTGAAATTAGTATATATAGGAGACAACTAAGATTTTAATAATGGAATCATATTACATGATATTAACTTAGATAATACAGGTTTTATTTTTAGAAGGTTTGCTTTTTTATAGTTTAAATTTGTAACCAGCATAAAATAAAAATCATTTCTGCCAGAAGAGATCACTTAGGTGTTAAGTAAAACAAACATTTCTGTCTCTGTTTTTGATGTTAGTTGCTAAACTCAGTAATATTCGATTAATAGGGGTTCAGCTAGTTCACATTTTAATAATATTGCTGGAAGCTAAAATGGAGATGTTACAGGGAAGTGCACTCTGCACTGAGAGGCATTGTCACTTAATCCTCATAGCACCTAGTCTTTTCACCCCATCTATAGATGATGGAGTTGATTATTGAGGCAAAACAATGCAAAGTAAAGAGTTAAATCACAATGCTAAAGTGAAAACTAAACTTTGATCCAAGATGAAGGTGTGCTAGGTTTGGGGAGGTAAAAAAAAAAAAAAAAAGAATCAATTTAGAATCATTTCCAACTTTCTCATTTATGCTTCAGAGTATACTTTATAGTCTTTAGAAAAAGTTTTTGTGCTTCACAGAGGGTTGATAATCTTTTTATTTACTTATCTACAAGGAATAGGAAATTTCATTTATCTGAAACATGTAAGACTTACCCGATAGAAATTGAAAAGTATATAAATATTTATCGAATCATTTTTACATTTTGATGTTATAGATTGGTTTCTATAGAAACTTCTTTGACCCCAACACAAGATAAAGTCCATGTCATCACAGGTTTACTGTAGCTTACCTGGCTAGCTATTGTGCTTTACCAAATTTCTGTGATTTAAAACTAATTTTGTTTAAAACTAATTTTGCTTGTATGGTTGGAAACTAGTGAGAGTGCTCATCCAATTTCTGATTTTATCTTTTATGTTAGCTTAGAGATTTTAGAGGAATCCGGATAGAATAGTGGTTAAGAGCATAAGCTTAGGAACATATTGGGCCTTAAATTGCTGTCTAGCTTATATGCGCTCTCCATGCCTTAGATTCTTTAGCTGTAAAATGAAGGTAAGGTGATAGTACCTACCATTCCAGGGTTGTTGCGATGAACATTATGATTATATATGTGAAATACTTGGTATAGGGAGGGCCTAGCAAATAAGTGGTGCTCAACAAATGGTAATTATGATAGAATAGATATATCTAGCTTTATGTTCAATGCATTCTATTGAAGCTTTCATACTTGCTTTTTGTGCATTAAAGTTCCTAGTATATGTTTTAAGATTTGTGTGTGTGTGTATATATATATGTTTTGTTTTTTTATTCTTTTTTTACTTTTTTAGGGAGTTCCAATGAATTCACTCAGGTTTCTCTTTGAAGGTCAGAGAATTGCTGATAATCACACTCCAAAAGAAGTGAGTCTAATTTCTTCTTTGAGTGAAGAAAAATGTTAAATCCTGCATTGAATGATTTGGTTCCCTTGTATTAAGCTACCCTTTTCTTGAACATTATCTGATTTAGGTGGTATATCATTTGTCAGAAAGAAAAAGTCTTTTGAGTTGAACTTTCTGTATATTGCCTTAAAAAATGCCAATAAAAAGAGAGGTGGTGGGGTTTCTGGCTGGCTTAGTGGGTAGAGCATACAGCTCTTGATCTCGGGGTTGTGTATTTGAGCCCCATTTTGGGTATAGAGATTACTTAAAAATAAAATCTTAGAGAGATGGAAAGTAGGAATTGAGTATTGCAATTGTCTTAAGGCACATTTTGTTTTAAAGAGGAACAAGTATTCCTCAAATTTGGCGAATTTTTGGTGCACTTTCATGGTGATGGTGACCTTTTATGGTTCAATTTTGATGTTTGACCCATTTTGAGAACTTAATATAGAAGTTTAGTATATATTAATATATTTGGCTCTGTCACCTTGATTTGTGTTTTTTAATGCTTCCGTGTCTTTAATTGTTTCATTGTATGGACACTTTGTTTATATATCCCCCCTCCCCTGAGAGGTATCTGAAAGTAATAAAGTGTGGGAGAGAGTATGTATGTGTGTGTGCTTTTATATTTATACAGATTTCCCCCTCCAAATACAAGATAACATTTTTGATATTTCTGATAGTGGGAATGATGATGTATTGTTATTCATTTTTTATTTTGAAACATTTCAAACTTAGAGTTGTTATAAGCCTAGTATATAATATTCTCCCATATAACTTTTTCATTAGATTCACCTGGTTTTAATGTTATGATACATTTGCTTTATCACTTTTTCTGTATACACATATTATTAGTGGTAAATCATTTGAGGTTAATTTACAGATATGACCTTTTACCCTTAGATATTTTAGTTACCTCCTAAGAGCCACAGTTAAATTATCAAATATAGGAGACTTGACATTGCTACAGTACTCTTTTTTTTTTTTTTTTGCTACAGTACTCTTATTGAATATGCAGTCAAATAGACTTTTCTATTTATCCCCAGTAAGGTCCCTTTATAGCCTTTTTATTTTTTATTTATTTATTTTAAAGATTTTATTTATTCACGAGAGACAGAGAAAGAGAGAGAGAGAGGCAGACACAGCCAGAGGGAGTAGCAGGGGAGTAGCAGGCTCCATGCAGGGAGCCTGATGTGGGATTCGATCCCGGGTCTCCAGGATCACACCCCGGGCCAAAGGTGGCACCAAACTGCTGAGCCACCTGGGCTGCTCTCTTTATAGCCTTTTTAAAAAAAAACTTGACCTAGGATCTCATCTAGGATTAGTGTCTTCTAACTAGTTATTATCCTTCTTTGGCTTCCTTTGATCTGGAACAGTTAGTCTTTGTTTTAAATCACACTGACATTTTTTAAAGAGTTCAGGCCATGTTTTAGAATGTCCTTCAGTTTGGGTTTGTCTGATGTTGCCTCATGATTAGATTCAGTTTTGTATTTTTGGTAGTAGCAGTACAGAGTGAAGCTATGTACTTCTAAGTGCATCACATCAGGAAGTACAGGATGTTCATTTGTTTTGTTATGAGTAACATTAACTTTGGTCAACTTTAGTCAAGGTGGCAACTGGCAGATTTATTCATTGTAAAAAGTTATTTTCCTTTTAAATTAATAAGTAAATTTCTGGGTTGATACTTTGAAATTGTGATTATTCTTTAAATATTGGCCAGTGGTGGCCCCTTCAAGTTGGTGTCTGTGTTCTTTTTTGATATGTCTCCGTTCTTTTTTCAAGTTTTTATTTTGAAATAATTTCCATCTTACAGGAAACTTGCAAGAATGGTACTAAAAATTTTACTCTCTTCTACCTAGATTGGCTTTTAAATTTTTGCTACCTTTAGTTATTTCTTTCTGCCCGTGTATATGTGCATTTATTACCAGAACCACTTGGGAGTAGGTTGTAGACACCACTGTCATTAGTAAATGATACTTGATACTACTTGATAGTGTGTATTTCTTAAGATCAAGTAGATTGTTTTACATAACCATAGTACTCTATCAAATTCAGGACACTTAACACTGTTAGAATACTTTACAACCTAATTTTATCATTTGTCCCAATTACATCTCCTATAACAAATTTTCTCCTCCATCACATGATCCAGTTCAGTATTAAGATTTTTTATTTAGGTTTCTCTTTAATCATCTTTAATTTAGAACAGTTCCTCAGCCTTTCTTTGTCTTTCATAACATTTACATTGTTAAAGGGTACAAACCAGTTATTTTCTAGAAAGTCCCTCAATTTGGTCTGGTCTATTTCCTCATGATTAGATTCAGGTTATTGCATTTGGGGTTGGAATACTACATAAATGGTGATGTGTCTGTCTTAGAATGTAATATCTGGAGTATACAAAGTCAGTCCCTTATTGATAATTTAACTTTTTTTTTTTATTACAGTGTAATTGTTATTTTTCCTGTTGTAATTAGTGGAAACATACTTTGAAACTATGAAACTACATGAATATCCTCTTTGTCATCAAACTTTTCCCTGGTTTAGTATCCACCTACTTTCTTGAGTACTTTTTTTCTTTTAAGTAATCTCTACACCCAACATAGAGCTTGAACTCTGAACCCTGAGATGGAGTCTCATGTTCCACTGAGCCAGCCCGGTGCTCCTTGAGTACTTTCTTAATGTTTGGCACAATAAGATGTTTCAAACTCATCTTGTATTTTCCCTGTCCTTTTTTTTTTTTTAAAGATTTTATTTATTCATGATAGACATAGAGAGAGAGACAGAGACACAGGCAGAGGGAGAAGCAGGCTCCATCCCGGGAGCCTAACGTGGAGCTTGATCCTGGGGCTCCAGGACCACACCCCGGGCCAAAGGCAGGCACTAAACCACTGAGCCACCCAGGGATCCCCGTATTTTCCCTGTCCTTATTTGATATAATCTCCACTTGATTTTAGCCAAAAGGCTGAGAAGTGATAATTTGGTAAAATCTCTACAACACAGTAGATATTGACTATATTTAAGTGCCACATTCCTCAATGTCATTAATAGATTATCTTTTCAGAAGCATAATGGGGCAGAGGAAGAGACAGTAGGTATTTAGGGAGTAATGTCCTTCTACTCATTAATTCATCTCTACAGAGTTACTTCTTGAAGCTGACTGCTTCATATTTTCCATAACTGGAGGATATGTGGTGCCTCCCCAACTTAAAGGTTTCTTGTAATGTTGCATTTTATTCCTTGCAATCTTTACAGGCTATATACGCAACTAAAATTAAGTTTTGGGGCATGTGGCTGTCTAAATCAGTGGAACATGTGATTCTTGATCTTGGAGTTGTGAGTTCGAGCCCCGCGTTGGGTGTAGATGTTACTTAAGGATAAAATCTTTAAATAAAGTTCTAACAGCATCTTTAATAATTATTTTAATATACAAATATACACCACAATCAAGATATCCATAACACTAGAGGCAGTGTAATCACTTAAAAAGTCCTAAATCCATGTGTTGTTTTTTTTTTTTAAGATGTATTTATTAGAGGGGTGCCTGGATGTCTCAGTGGGTTAAGCATCTGCCTTTGGCTCAGGTCATCATCCCAAGGTCTTGGGATTTTTTTTTAAATTTTATTTATTTATTTATTTATGATAGTCACAGAGAGAGAGAGAGAGAGAGAGAGAGAGAGAGAGAGAGAGAGGAGAGGCAGAGACACAGGCAGAGGGAGAAGCAGGCTCCATGCACCGGGAGCCCAATGTGGGACTCGATCCTGGGTCTCCAGGATCGCGCACTGGGCCAAAGGCAGGCGCCAAACCACTGCACCACCCAGGGATCCCAGGTCTTGGGATTAAGCCCCATGTTGTTGGGCTCTGCTCAGCAGGGAGTCTGCTTCTCCCTCTGCCTGCCGTTCTGCCTACCTGAATGCCCTCACTCACACTGTCAAATAAATAAAATCTTAAAAAAAAAAAAAGATTTGATAGCATGATCATGGGGAGGAGGGACAGGAGGAGAGGGAAAAAGAATCTAAGAATCTCAAGTAGATTCCAGCTGAGTGTGGACCCCAAACATGGGGCTCCATCTCACAATTCTGAGATCATGACCTGAACTGAAACCAAGAGTCGGACGCTCAACCGACTGAGCCACCCAGGCACCCCTGTCTGTTTTATTTTTAGATTTCTTACTCTTTGCACATTTTGTAATTCACCAAAAATATCACCTATAACTTTTCTCATTAGAGATTACTGATTTTAGACTTCCTTTTATTTTTCATTTGCTTTTGTGATCCACTGTAATTTAGTGGAAACTATACTAGTTTTTGTTTTCAGTCTGCCTGTTAACAATGCTTCTGAACCCTGACTGCACACCAGAATCAACAAATTGATGTTCCTTTACCCTCACTGAGGGTGATACCTGGATTTCTGTGGGACACCATGCCCCCTTACGTACTCTTTTCTTTTTTAAATAAAGAATATTCATAGTTGAAAATAATAAAAAGCAAACTACCAGAGTATATGAAATGGAAAGTAAACATATTCTGATTATCTCTGCATTCCTATTTCTCAGAGGCAGCCATTGTTAATAGTGTCTTTAAGAAAAAATTCTAGAATATTTCAGTGCATATAGGACACATCAAAAAAACAAAACACCAAAACAACCACACTATTAATTGCCTCTGCTTTGCTTAGCATTCTGTAAAAGGCATTTTGAAGGACCCCCTTTTTTTCTTTAAGGATTGAGAGGGGCTAGGCTGACAAATCTAGCTTGTAAAATTGGAGTTATCAAGTAAGAGTAGATGTCTAGATAATGTTTCTACATTCAGAGTGGTCACTATCAAAATAGTAGTTAACTGCCAGAAGGAATTATAGATGACAAAGCAAACCACTTCAAAATGAATCCCTAGGCAGTATTTTTCTAACTAAAACCACACATATATATATATTTTAAAGATTTTATTTATTCATGAGAGACACAGAGAGACAGGCAGAGAGACAGGCAGAGGGAGAAGCAGGCTCCATACAGGGAGCCCCATGTGGGACTGGATCCCAGGTCTCCAGGATCACGCCCTGGGCTGAAGGTGGTGCTAAACCGCTGAGCCACCAGGGCTGCCCAAAACCACATATATTTTAAAGTGAGATCAAGTTTTTTGAAATAAAGAGATTCTATCAAGTATCTTGATTCTATCAAGCAATTACATCTAAAAGTAAAATGGTTTTCTGGAAGATATACCATCAAACTATTGTTTAAACTATGAAATACATGTTTCATTAGATTTAAAACTCCTTTGAGGTATTTTTAAAAAACACACTTTAGGGGTGCCTGGGTGGCTTCGTTTGTTAAGTGTCCAACTCTTGATTTCAGCTCAGGTCATGATCTCAGGGTTGTGAGATTGAGCCCCATGTCAGGCTCCATGCTGAGCCTGCTTAAAATTCTCTGTCTCCCTCTCCCCCTCTTCCCACCCCCTACCCTGCTCATGTATGCATGGTGCGCTCTAAAAAAATAAATAAATAAAAAAAAAAACACTTTATATGCTGAATAGACTGGGAGGTGAACTGGCTCAGCAGGGTTAGATGAATGACTTCACAGCCAGAATCAGGAGGAAAGACCTACCGCTATGTTCTTTAAAGGAAACCCAGGGACGCCTGGGTGGCTCAGCGGTTGGGCATTTGCCTTCGGCTCAGGGCGTGATCCTGGATTCCCAGGATTGAGTCCTGCACTGGTCTCCTTGCATGGAGCCTGCTTCTCTTCCCTCTGCCTGTGTCTCTGCCTCTCTGTGTCTCTCATGAATAAATAAATAAATAAAATCTTAAAAAAAAATAGGAAACCCAGATTCTTAATCTTAGAGCAGGGTAACTATGGATCACTTCTGTATCTTTTTGCATTTTAAAACAATGGCCACATAATTGCAGCCAATGAAAAAATTAGTGCTTTTATATTCTAACATATTTTTTTATCCTCTTACAGCTGGGAATGGAGGAAGAAGATGTGATTGAAGTTTATCAGGAACAAACAGGGGGTCATTCAACGATTTAGATATTCTTTTTATTTTTTTTCTTTACCCTCAATCCTTTTTTATTTTTAAAAATAGTTCTTTTGTAATGTGGTGTTCAAAACGGAATTGAAAACTGGCACCCCATCTCTTTAAAACATCTGGTAATTTGAATTCTAGTGCCCATTATTCATTATCACTTGTTTTCATTGTGCTGATTTTTGGTGATCAAACCTCAGCCCCCTTCATATTGCCCTTTCCTTTTTAAAAATTACATGTGTGCACAGAGAGGCCACCTTTTCCAGGACTGTGCATTTTCAGGCTTGTGATAAATAAGATCGACCAATACAAGTGTTCATGATGACTTTCCAATTGGCCCTGAAGTTCTAGCATGTGATTGCTTCACTCCTGGACTATGACTTTCAGTGGGAGATGGAAGTTTTTCAGAGAACTGAACTGTGGAAAAATGATCTTTCCTTAACTTGAAGCTTCTTTTAAAATTTGAGGGTCTGGACCAAAAGAAGAGAAATATCAGGCTGGAGTCGAGAAGACAGAGATGATGAGAGTAAATGACTAACTCCAAAGATGGCTTCACTGAAGAGAAAGCATTTTAAGATAAAAGTCTTGTCAGAAGATCCCAGAAAAGTTCTAATTTTCATTAGCAGTTAATAAAGTTATTCATGCAGAAGTGTATTCAACAGAACACTGCTCTTTTTGATTTTATTTGTACTTTTTGGCCTGGGATATGGGTTTTAAATGGACATTGTCTGTACCAGCTTCATTAAAATAAACAAAATATTTGTAAAAACCGTACTAATGTTCATTTTATTTTTAATTGTATAGAAAGAAAAAAGAAAATGCCTAAAAGTTTTCTTGCATAATGCTGGAAATTATTGTTTGTACATGGTACAAATAAATTTTTCAGTACTGTACAGTGATGATGATCATGACTTTGAAGCACTGAAAGCTACTGAAGTGCCTTTGAATTAAGGATTTAATTAAGGCCACGCTACCTTCTTAAATACTCAGTGTTCTGTTTTTTTTTTTTAACTTGATATTCTTGTATGGTGCATATCTATGATATAGTTACCCAGTCATGTTGAATAAATGGGCATGCCAAAAATTAATTGATTCATATTGATAATTCTCAGTTTTTCCTTTAACAATTTACAGAATGTTTTCTGCTTAGGTTAAGGTTTGGTATACTTTGTTTATATTTGTTTATATTTTCTTTTTATTTCATCTTAAATATTTAAACTTTGTATAAAATTAAAGTACTAAATTAGTTCCTATTAGAGGGCTTAGCTTTTTAACTCTTAACGAATCACAGGATTTAGTATATGTATGCATACACATAATCCTCTTTCGTGTTATTCCAGGTAGAATGTCATCTGAGTACTTTAGAAGAGCAAATAAAACTTATCTCTAATACATTTTATAAACCGTTATAGCTTAAATACCCTACTCAAGTCACCTGTTAAAAATAATTGGCTTGCCTTACAAATTCCTATGTCTGACCCTAACTGAAAAATTATTTGTGTTGTACATGTTTAGCTTAGGTAAATTAGAGCCTTTAGACTGTCACCTGGCATTTATCATATTATATTAAGTAGTGACTAGGAATGGGGCCCTTTTCTGAAAAATCCTCATTGAATTGCATATTTCAGGCCTGAGTAACAAACTTGATAGGCTATTTGAGCTATTCAGAATGCAAGAGTATGTAGTTGGTATCTTAATTTTGTTTGTATCTCTGTCTGAAGGTTAGCATTTAGGCGGTAGAGTTTAGCTCTGGGGAAATAAACTTATTTAGTTTATTGGATTCTTCTAAATACGTTGCATTCTGCTATGGTTAACTTACTAAAATGTGCTTATCTGGTGTAGTAGTGCTGGTAAACTAGGACTTTCACAGCAACAATTTTATAGAATATCAGATTTGAAAAGGAACCTTGAATAACATTTAGTGTAGCTGCTCTACCTGGTGCTTGACTGCAACATCCTAAATTTGTAAAAGAAGGGAGAAAATAAAGTCGGTAATGGTAATTTCCCCCACAAGGATGTTTTCCTTGAGTGCTCTTTCTTCTGTTCTTGTATTATTTGAAATGCTCCTTTCTTACCTGCTTAAGCATTGTTGAATGACTTGAATGAATGAATGAATGAATGTGCAAGTAGGATGGACAATTCTGAGAAAAAGTTTGTGACATATTTAAAATCACTGACAGTGTTTTGGCCATTTTATTTTCTGTTTTACAAATAAAGCAAATAGCTAAAAGTCATCAAATCTAAGCAAGTCTGATAATAGCAATACAGAATAAAAATTACGTTGGACTTCTGGATTGTAGAAGTACGGTTCCTGTAAAGAGCAAATACTTTACAGCATTGGTGAGAAATTTGAGGGAATCCTCTGCAAATACTCTGTTTGTCAGCTGCAGACGGTGAAGTTTAGAGTAGGGCCAAAGGAAATTTGTAGGAAAATTCAAGTTCAGATACTGCTTGCTTTAACATCCTTTTATATATCTTGCTTGTAAAGATCTCTCATCCCTTTTAATGATCATTCTAGGATAGATACTTATTTAAAGAGATGTTAAAGAAAAAATTAAGATTATACCTTAATAGAGTATGATTTTTAAAAACGGGGAAATTATGGTGGTGCGGTGGGTTGAGCATCCCACTCTTGGTGTCAGCTTGGGTCGTGATCTCAGTGTTGTGAGATCGAGCTACACATTGGGCTCTGCACTCAGGGTGGAGTCCACTTGAGATACTCTCTCTGCTCCTCCCCACAGCTTGTGCTTTCTATCTAGATAAATGAATAAATCTTTTTAAAAAAATGGGGAAGTTATGTGAGTGGTTGGATCTTAAAGGCATAGGAACAAATCCTCAAGATTTGTTAATTATTGAGTCTAGAACAGGACTGTCCAGAGAACTTTCTGTGATGTTGGAAATGTTCTACATCTGTACCGTCCAGTAATGTAGCCAGTAGCTACATGTGGCTATTGAGCACTTGAAATGTGGTTAATATAGCTGGAGAACTGAATGCTTAACATATTTAAAGTTATATGTGGCTACTTAATTGGCCAGTGTAGCTCTAGAATCTATATTTTGAGGAAGTGAGAATACCTTGAATAAAATGGCTCATTTTGTTCAAATGAACATTTATCAAGAGATTACCTTGTTTTAAATGGACAAATTTTAGATTCTTAGGATGAAATGTGTTTTTGCCTTATAGAGAATGAAGTTCTTAATAAATGAACTCCTTAGCTTATTCAGAATTTTTTTTTTTATTTTATTGATGATAGTCAAAGAGAGAGAGAGAGAGAGGCAGAGACATAGGCAGAGGGAGAAGCAGGCTCCATGCACCGGGAGCCCGATGTGGGATTCGATCCCGGGTCTCCAGGATCGCGCCCTGGGCCAAAGGCAGGCGCCAAACCGCTGCGCCACCCAGGGATCCCAGCTTATTCAGAATTATTTGCATTATAGAATTTCCACTAATCTGCAACTCTTTCAGACACACTGACTGTGAAATGAAATACTTCAAGTCAGGTATGTGTGATGGGAAGGGGTAGTGGGAATTGAGGTCCTAGAGTGAAGCTCAGTGTGGGTTGAGGTGAACTCGATGAAATGGAATATCATTTCCATTATTAGAATTTCTGTCACCACCTCCCAACTTACTTTTTAGTTTTCTTCTAGCCTTAAGATCTGGGTATTTGTAGAAACTGGAAGTAAGAGTAGACCCACGATCTGGAAATGTTCCGTGTCCACTGCAGGCCACTGGCTTCCTTATAGAGTTCTTGATGGAAATGAAGTCGTTTCTTCAAAGCATCTTTTTGCCTAAGGAAACAACCCGCCCACAATCCCAATATGGTTAAGCATCCTAGAAATTGCCCTTAGAAGCTAGTAGAACTTTATATCTGAGCAATCATCAGCTAGACTGGGGGCTACTGATCTTGCATTTTAGTGGAAGATCATACTCTATTCATTTAGTGACTTTACACATGAGTTTTACAGTTTCATGAGCCTTTTACTGGAAAAGTAAAAGGAAAGTTCTTAAACTTGTATTGCTGGAACGGATTCCCTTGTTTCAAACAGGAGGAAACGGGCCAGAGAAATTAAAGTACCTGGGCCAATGTCACGCAAGTGAAGATGAAACAGCCAGCTGGCATCAAATTGTAACCCTCGGTGGAATGAGGCTCGACCCCTCACACACCCCTTTAGTTACCTGGTTTCCTGGTCTCAGCTACTTGGACTAGTTTTACAAAATTGTTTAGCTTGCTTTTGGTCTTGATGCTTATGAACTCAGTCCTGCTGCTATGATATGTAGAATATATAATTTTGACTTGAATCAAGACTTCTGTAATGATATGTTTTTTAATTCACCTTAACAGGTGGGGGGAAAAAGTTGAATAAAGTCCAGGAGTGGAATAACTCAAGATTGGGTAGAAAAGCTTGAAATAAAATTGTTCTGACTGCCTTCTCTTCCTGGTCTCCTAAGGGGTACTTCATTAGCTTAGACTCAACTTAAGTTGTAGAAAATACATTTCAGGGGGTAAAACTGTTTAGTCAAGATTGGACTCACATGGCTTTTTGTGTTGTGCTTCTTTACCCTTCAAATTTGATGGTTCTAAAGAGGGATGTCTGTTACTTTCACTAAGGAGTGGAAATTCATGAGAAAGCAACTACAGGGGACCTAACTTTTAAAGAGTGTGTCGAAACCAAGCTACTCAAGAAATTCATTATCAGGGGGTGTGGGTGGCTCAGTCGGTTAAGCATCTGCCTTTGGTTCAGGTCATGATCCTAGGGTCCTGGGATCAAACCCTGCATTGGGCTCCCTGCTCATCGAGGAGCCTGATTCTCCCTCTCCCTCTGCCCTTCCCTGCTGCTCATTCTCTCTCTCTCTCAAATAAATAAAAATATTAATGACAACAAGAAACATGCTATCATCAGAAAGATGAAATGATCATTATACTATTGTAAAAGAAAAGAGGGGGAATGCCATTGGCCTTTGTTATATTAGTTCTGTACTATTACTTCAATGACCTCATCTCGAAGTATTCTTTGTGCCTTGTTCACTTGGTTCCAGCCATACTGACTTCCTTTTTATTATTATTATTATTTTAAAGATTTTATTTATTTATTCATGAGAGACACACAGAGAGAGAGAGAGGCAGAGACACAGGCAGAGGCAGAAGCAGGCTCCATGCAGGGAGCCCGACGTGGGACTGGATCCCGGGTCTCCAGGATCACACCCTGAGCTGCAGGCGGCACTAAACCACTGTGCCACCAGGGCTGCCCCTCTGACTTTCTTTTATTCATCCAACATGCCAGTTTCATTCCTTCCTTTGAACCTTTGCACTCACTGTGTACCTGTTGGAATATTTTTCTCCCAGATGTTTATGTGGCTCTTTGTCATTCAGGTTTCACTTTATATAACAGTTTCTCTGAGAAGTTTTGCCCTGGCTGACCAATCTAAACTAAGCCTCCTGCAATCCTATCACATGTTTAAAACTTTTTCTATATAGCATCTATTAGCAGCTGAAAAAAAATACTTGTCTCCCTACCCCCAGCTGTAGAATATAAATGCCAAGGGAGAAGAGACCTCTGTTTTGCTTACTCCTGAATTCCCAGCACACAACAGGTAAACAAAAAATACTGAGAAAGGCTGTGGTTCAGAATTGGTGTGTGTGTGTGTGAGATGTGGTCCTGACACTGCCCACCTCACGATTTAGCCTTGATCAAGATCTTTCTCCCTCTTTGGGACTCGAGTTTCTCACCTGTAAACTAGAGGGCTGAGATAGATAACATCTAAACACCCTTCCAGCTTCAATACAAGTTCTATAAGCCATGAAGAAATTCTGACATTGGCAGCAAAAAGAATCTGTTTTTTTAATTCTTCCGAACCATGCTTATGGAAAGTGGGAGACCTTCAGTGTCCAAAGGCAGCACTAGCACTAGGGAATCAAGCCCTTGAAACAATCTCCCTGTGGCAACCGTTGCCCAAATATCCCCTACCTGGCTTGTTCCTGTGCTTGTTTCATAGCTTCCTCCAGAGCCAGCCTGGCTGCTTCCTCCTCCCTTTGCCTTCTCTCCTCTGCTTCCAGCTGCGCCTTCTCTTCTGCTTCCTGCTTCCTATGCTGGTACTCTAGCCGTTCTTCTTCAGCCATCTCCATCAGGCGTTTCTGTTCTTCTGCTAACTGCATTTCCAATTCCTTCTCCTTCTGCCTCTCAACCTCTACGGAATAGAAGAGGGGGTAGGCTCAGCAGGGGTCTCATTAGTGGAGAAATCTAACTCCCAAGTCTGATTCCCAGGGATTCCCCATGAGATGGTGTGCAGCTTACCTGCCAGGAGGCTGCCAGCTCCTGTGGGGATCATGTTGGGGTCAGTTTAGGAGTCCTTTATCAAGCACCTACTATGTGCAGTGCACTGTGCAATTAGTACAAAACCTTGGCGGAAAGTTTTCCAGGGCCTAGGGTGCTCACGGGTGGTATGCAGATAGTTGGGGAGAGGCATTAGATCAGGATCTGGAGAAATTTTGTGCTGACCCGACCAGCCTAAAGAGTGTCATTTGCTCAAGTCCCTTCCTCTTCCTCAAAAGTGAGGCTGTAGAGATTCTACATCTCAGCACCCGAAAGGGCAGGCTGCCCGAAGCTATCCAGATGGTGGTTTCTGTCTGCTAGGGAAGGAAGCAAGGAGCAGGGCAGTGTCTCCAATATAGGCAGCTTCCAAGCAGTGCTAACATGGCAATGGGAGGGGCAGGGTCCCAGGTCAGGAGAGGGCTGAATTGGGAGCGGGGCCCAAGAGTCATTTCCACAAGTGAGTCTGTCTTATTTTGATCTTCTATCTTGACTCACTGTAGTCACTCATATTAATCACTTTGGGAAAAAAATAGCTTATACATTTAGAGTGCTTCACACAGTAAGGCCTAGGATAGGAATAACTCTGAGGAGATTCAAATGAACACCCACAGTGGGATAAAAATACTTCTGCCCCAGATAGGAGAGGCAGATTGCTCCAGAACCCCTCCTCACCAGCTCGCTTGGCTTCTTCCTGCTGCTTTTTTCTCTGTAGTTCTTGCAGTTTCCTCCAGAACTCCTCCTGTTGCTGCCGGACTCTCTCCTGGGCCACTTGCAACCGATGTTGCTGTTTCCTCTCCTCTTCCTCCTGCCGCTGCCGTTCTTCTTCCAGTCTCTGCTTCCTCAGGCTAAGAAAACCCACAGGATGGTCAGGGAAATGGCAGAAAATACTGGGACATCCTTGTGAGACTAGCCAACAGGCAGGGCCCCTGGTGGAGGCTTTGCAGCCCCTGGTCGATGCTCTGGAGTGACCTGTTCAGAGGACATCTTGGTGTCCAAGGGAAGCCTGAGTAAAGAGCTGAAGCCAGAACACAACTGACCTGGAACTAAAAGCCCCAAGCTTCACCACACAGCTCAGTGCTCTGGCGTCAGGGCATTAAGTTCCCAAAGCTTCGTTTCCCCCTCTTACAAGATGAGCTTTAAAACTCTAGTCTCAACAGGGTTGTTGTAAAGATTAAATTAAATGAGTCAGGGCACCTGGGTGGCTCAGGGCATGATCCCGAGGTCCTGAGATCGAGTCCCACATCAGGCTCCCTGCAGGGAGCCTGCTTCTCCCTCTGCCTATGTCTCTGCCTCTCACTCAGTGTCTCTCATGAATAAATAAATAAAATCTTTTAATTAATTAATTAAATGAGTCAAGGCTTATGAAAGAATTTAGAACAATGTGGAGAGTCATAGGGGCTCAACAAATGTATGCAGGGCTGCATTACAAGCCCTTCCAAGAAGATCCCATGAACATGTACCTGGAGTAACCCTCATGGCTAGGACACTACACCTTATCTTTGGTCCAGGTTGTCCCTAGGATAACTGAGGACAGAGAAAAACGAGATGTGCTGTTTTACTCCTGGGCACGAGTCTCAGAACCCATTACGTCCCTAGCGGAGGTCAGCCCCGGCCTTGTGTGGCTGCCTCCTGCGTGGTCGCAGCCTCAGCGGCTCTACGCACCGGTTCTCCTCCGCGCGGGCCCGCTGCTCCAGCTCCAGCTCCTCCTTCATCTTCTCCGCCCTCTCCAGCTGCTCCTGAAGGAGCCGCCTCTGCTCTTCCTGGTCCCTTCGCCTCCTCTCCACTTCCAAGCGTCTCATCTCAGCCCTCTCTGCTCGCAGCCTGTCCCGGGACGCTCCCTCTTGCTCCCTCTCGGCGAGGAGGGCCTGAGGAACCAGAGTGAAAAGCAGAGCCTGTGTCGGGGCGAGCCCTCCTCTGCACAGGCCGGTGGTGCCTCTCAGCAGCAGCAGACCACGGAGTGGTTTCCACACCGACTGCATCCCCTGGCTTGGGCTCTGGGGTCTGACTGGCCCGAATCCAAGTCCCTTATTTGCTTCAGGATTTGGAGGTCACAACTTAATTTCCCTGATACTGTCTTCCTCTTGGGGCCGTTACCGGGATGAATTGAAATAGTGAAAGTGCCAAAATAATGTCTGGCACATTGTATGTCTGGAGTTTTCAGCCCTAGCTGCACTTTACAATCATGTGAGGAGCTTTTAAAAATTACTTGAGGCCAAGGCCCCCTACAGACCAATTAAATGAGAATATCTAGATGGGAGGCCTTGTGGTTTAAAAAGCTTCTCAGGTGATCCTAGTGAAGCCAGGGTTGGGAACCACAGGTTCTAGATAAACGTTATCTTACCAGGGGTGGTCTTAGGTATAAATGCGTTAGATTCACACTCCCATGCAAACCCACTTTTTCTTTTCCCTTTTTTTTTTAAGATATCATTTATTTATTCACAACACACACACACACACACACACACACACACACACACACACGGAGGCGGAAACACAGGCAGAGGGAGAAGCAGGCTCCATGCAGGGAGCCTGATGTGGGACTCGATACTAGGTCTCCAGGATTACACCCTGGGCTGAAGGCAGCGCTAAACCGCTGGGCTACCCAGGCTGCCCACAAACCCACTTTTTCAATGAAAGGTTCTCTCAGTTACTGTGAAGGATGTCTTAGCTTTCTTTTTCTCCCGAACACCCCTTCCATTGTCAGAAATACGCCCATGAGGGGAAATGAATGCAACTCTTCCACGGGTGCTCCGTGTATCCAACTCGGGTGAAACTTCTTGGCTTTTTTTTTTTTTTTTTTTTTTAGCCTTTGCAGAGCAGCACAGCGCCACGCACTGACAATGCATCTAAGAAATCTAGTTGTCTAGCAGGCTCAGGAAAGTTTTGCTCATAGGTTAAAATTTTCATCTCTGGTGTAGAGTGGAATTCCAATTCCATAGTATAGGCAGCTGGGAGGACTGGGAACTAAAAAGGAAAAAAATATGTCTGAAATCCTTTATGGAAGACTATGGGCTATAAAATAAAGAAAAACACAATAATTTAAAACTGACAAGAGCCCTGATTTTAGAGTCAAAGGACTTGGATGTAAGTCTTGGCCCTACTGCTTGATGGTTGTATAACTTCTGGTAACTGCGACACTTATTTCCACACCTCAGTTTCTAGGTCTGTGAAATGGGATAATCCCATCTGGCTCACAAGTGTGGCTGTAAAGATTAAACGGGATTCAGCAGAGTTGTACCATACGCACGTGTAATTTATGTGGGCTTACCCACAGCAGTTTAGCTGTGGGTATAAATGCAGTGTTTTAGAGATACTCCTTTTTCTCTCCTACAACAAAACCTCTAAATGCAGTTCAGCACCTTCATCCCAGTGGAAAAAAAATTTATTTATTTTTGTGATTTATTCCAAAAACAGAGAAAAAACTGGTTGTGTTGGCCTAATTGAGAGATATATCTGTTGGTATTTTTTTCTTTTTTTGATTAATTGCAGGGATTTTCAAGGGCAATTTTCCTTACACTCACTCAGTTTTTCTCTTAAATACCTGACATTAGAATCAAGTCTCCTGGAGCAAAATTATACGCCACAGCACCTTGTAAAGACAGACAGGTATGTTTGTACGAGCTGCCTGTGGCTCAGCTGTGTGCCACAGAAAATTGGGAAAGAAGGAATTTCCATAGCCTTTGGGAGGCAATCAAAACATTAGCTCCCAGCCAAGTCAAGGATATGTGTTTGGCTCTGATGGCCAAAATCTACCTTCTCCTATAACTGTGAGGGCTGTGCCAACTTCCTGCTCCTCAAGAGATGAGTATATGCTGTGGCAGTGTGGGAGCCTCCTAGAGTGCATCATTTCAGAGGGGCTTTGCCACCCTGTGTCTTTGATCAGCTCTGGCTTCTTAAAGGGTCAGAGGTATCAAAGTAGAACAAATAAAACCATGATGTAGGGGTGCCTGGGTGGCTCAGTTGGTGAAGCTCTGCCTTCAGCTCAGGTTGTGATCCCAGGGTCCTGGGATCGAGTCCCACATTGAGATCCCTGCTCAGTGGGGAGCCTGCTTCTCTCTCTCCCTCAGCCCCTTTCCCCTGCTCATGCCCTCTCTTCCTCTCTCTCAAATAAATAAATAAGATCTTTAAAAAGGAGAAAATATTTTAAAAAGTAAAACCGTGATGTAGAGCATTGTTTGAGTAACTGCACTATGACTCACAGCAATTTTTCCCACCTCTTATACCAGTAAGAACAGACATCTCTCTGTCTGAGGTGAGAATATTGGACCTTACTTTGGAAGGGTCCTCATAACTTCTTTCTTCTTTAGATTCCATGTTTCCGGTGACAGGTATAGCCTGGGTGGGTGATGATCTTCCATCTATGGACACTTGGCTCTCCTGAGTATCATACTTGTGGGAAAACCAAATGTCCTCCACAAAAGAATCTGTAGGAGAGAAACCTCTATCTAAAGTGTCTTCTGTTTCCTTAGGGTTAATGACATCAGGCCCACTCAGCTTTGCTATTTCCAGATTCCTTTTCTTCTGTGTCCTTTTCCTTTTGGATCTTGGCTTTCTTTCTTTGGGAATTGGCTCTGATTTCTTTTCAGCCTTTGATTCCTTTGACTTTCCTGGAGAAAGCAAAGAAGAACAATTGGGGACAGAGTTGTAGCTAAGTAAATGTGATCTCTGCATCCTTTTCAGTAGCTTTTAAACTTCCATGTACAATGGAATCACCTGGGGTGCAGATTCCTGAGCTCCACTCCTAGAGTCTGATTCTGTAGGAATCTGCATTTTAATGACCACTCCAAGTGTTTTGAGAAGGGTTGTCCACAGACCACCCTTTGAGAAACTGCCTTATTCTATTTGGATCAACTGTAATTCAATAATCTTACAACTAAAAAAGTTCTGTTTCACCCCGACCTATGGTAGAGGCAAGACTCTCCAGAGGAGAAAACAACAGACACAGACAGAAAGTCAGGCCTCAAGAGTCTGGGTTGAGGTTGCAGCTTTGTAACTTGGCAAAGTTTAAGCCTTCCATACTGTAAGCACTCTTCTTCAATTCGCCTCTGGGGACCACAAGTATTTCCTTTCCCCAGTCCTGCCAATGCAATCCAAGTCATGGGCTATAACAATGTAAGGTCAGCAAGACTTTAAAAAGCAAATCTCAAAAATAGATTGGGCCCAGGAAACAATCCAATGTCATCCTTTCTGACAGCCTTTGATTCATAAGGAGGGTCTTCTAAATCATGTGGCCAGGAAAGAATGGGTCTAAATTTTAAACTAAAGAAAGTCTTCAGAAGCATGGGAATCTAAATTCCTTGGAAGGTACAACACAGGGAATCAAGAAGAAAAGTGGTAGCTGGGGTAATCATTCAGCTACCCAAAACCTTTTGCTTCCCAAATGCTTTCACTGCCCAATTCTTAAATTATGATAGATAGCAACTCATAGAGGCTGTGGTAAGAACATGTACTTGGAATCAAATGGCAGGGTTAGACTCTGGGTCCACCACTGTACAGTTCAATCTATTTGATCTTATGCAAGCCACCTTATCCCTCTCAAGCCTCAACCACTACACAATTTAATAATAATGCTTGCTTTATGGAGATGTTTTGGGGATTTCATGATATCATATATGCAGGGCTCCTAATGCAATGAGTAATCAGTAAATAGGTGCTGCTATTATTATTATTATTATTATTATTATTATTATTATTTCCTCTTTATCACAGGTCTCTAGGAAACCCTGCTTTCCTCTCTTCTCTACTGACATGAATTAAGGCTGCAAGAGTGTCTTAGCTAGAGATAGTCAAAAAGACTCAAAACAGGGAGTTTGTCCCATTGGATTCATGCTGAATCTCTGTGACATGTCCCAGCCCCATTAGGTGTCTTTTCCTGGGTCGTCGGTCAAGGGCACACTCCCTTACCAACAACAGCCTCTGCTTCCCTGTGGACCTTTCCTTCTCTCCTCTCCTTAGGTACCTTGGACTTGTCTGTTTTGGTTCTTTTCTTTCTCTTGGCTTTGTCAATCAACTCCATCTCCTAAAGGTGAAAAATTAAGGAAGAGGACCATAATATGTGTAGGAAACAAGGGAAAAAAAACATCAAAGGAAGATTATGTTGAACAAAACAGAATGGCTTAGAATGGAATTTGTGTGGGTTCCACATGAAGCAGAAGAGGGAGTCTTAGAGCTGGTGCAGAAATCCTAAGGTTCAGCCTTTCCTTTAAAACTGCTAGGTATAATGCCGTTGGAGGAAAGAGGAACAGAATACACTTTAGGATGTCTCCTTTCTGATGCTAAATTGTGATCTATAGAGTTGGATCAAAGTAAAGCAATTTTCAACTTTGGTAGATTGCTATTGCTACAATTAATGTTTAGTTTAGAACAAAGTCAGCTTTATTCACTATTGCATCAATTGCTGACTTTCCAGAAGTTTCTCAAGCAGATGACCACAACCATGTCAGTCTTCACATTTCCCCATAGGCTGAGACAACAATGGAAATTCCTCCTAAGAGAGGAGGGCAGAGTAGGGCCATGGCTACCCACTCAGTACCTGTGATATTTTGACATAATAAGAAAAAAATATTTGGTCTTCATCCCAGGTCTCTGGCACAGAACTTATTAAACCACTGTAATTTCTGGAGCATAAAGGTGAAAGAGTAGCTTTTGTTTTTCATTAACAAATCCCTTTCAACCATACCTGAGACTGTGTTAATAAAGTGATTTGGGAAAGCATCTAAGGAGGAGGTGCTGGTTATCAAGGGAATCAACCATGATATTAGAGGGTTGGAAATTCAGCCCAACACCCTTAACCTCAGAGGAGAAGTTAATAATCATTTGCCAATGCTTTAATCAATGCTTTTACTAATCAGTGCCTATGTAATGAAACCTCTATAAAAACCTAAACCAAGAGAGTCTGGATTGCTTTCTGGGTTGGTGAACACAACCACATGCCAGGGGGATGGCACACTCTAAACTCCATGGAGACAGAGGTGCCTGCATTTAGGACCCTGGGGACCTTGCTCTATGTATCTCTTCATCTGGCTGTTCATTGTATCTTTTAAAATATCCTTTGTAAGGGGTGCCTGGCCGGCTCAATTGGTGGAGCATGCAACTCTTGATCCTGGGATTGTAAATTAGAGCCCCAGGTTGGTTGTAGAGATTACTTAACAATAAAATCTTTTAAAAATCCTTTGTAATAAATCGGGCAGCCCGGGTGGCTCTGCGGTTTAGCACTGCCTTCAGTCCAGGGCCTGATCCTGGAGACCCGGGATCGAGTCCTGCTTCGGGCTCCCTGCATGGAGCCTGCTTCTCCCTCTGCCTGTGTCTCTGCCTCTCTCTGTGTGTCTCTCATGAATAAATAAATAAAATCTTAAAAAAATCCTTTGTAATAAATCAATTGTAGTAAGTAAATGTTTTTCTGAGGTTTGTGAGCCATTCTAGCAAATTATCAGAGCTGAGGAAGGGGTTGTGGGAACCCTCTATTTATAGGTGACAACCTGGGACTTGTGACTGGTGTTTGAAGTGGGGGAAGTCTTATGTGACCAAGCCCTTAACCTGTGGGGTCTGTGCTAACTCCAGGCAGTGTCAGAATTGAACTGTAGGACATCCAGTTGGTGTTCTTTGAGCTGGAGATTGACTGATGTAAGAAAAGTCTCCACACATTTGGTGTCAGAAGTGGTGTGTAGGGAAGATGAAGTTTCCTTTTATTATCTTAGTAGGAATTAGAAATGAGCACCCCATCCTTCAGAAGGATGCAGCCCATGGCTGGAGCAGGGAACGATGACTGAACCATGGACTTCAGACTGGATTTCAGTTCTCACTTGCCCCTTTGCAGTTCCCCTTGTACATATAGTAAGCAATCTACACAATTGTACATGGTAGCCTGATGGGAGCAAGCTTTTGGACCAAGCTCCTAGATGTTTACACTTACACTCATGTTGGCTAGTACCTGCTGGTTGAACAGTCTTGGTTCATTCTTCCCTTCTCTTCCTCTTGGGAGAAGAGATGCATCTACAGGACCCAACTGCTCTGGGGACTCGTGTCCTGGGAGTCTTCTGTGCAGATGGTGTACACCATAATCTCTGCCCCTTTAAGAAAGAGCAAAACAACAGGACCAAACTAAATAAAAAACTCTGGTGGACAAGGAAGAGGAGAAGTGCACAAACATTGAGTCTCTGTCTCTGTGGTGCTATGATGGGCATTTTATACACTTGGTCAAACCTCTTTTTCTCAACACCTCCCTGAATTAGGGAGGGTAGAAAGTTGAGTCTTCCCTTGTGGGGTTCTCTCCAGCTAAATCCTCAATTTAGAGAGAAGAAATAGTTCGCCTCTTTAGAGTTGCATGTTTATGCCTTTAATTGAATGACATCAGGTTATCTAACTGAAATTCTTCTATCAAAGGCTTAGCTGAAAAATAAACGACCTTTAAGAAAGACTGTTTTAGGAACATGCAACTATCCATTCATTCTTTTATGCCCTCTGAATTCTATTCTTGATCAAATATAGCCACCAAAAGGTCATGCGCTGTGTTTGTGTGATCCCATGTAGAACTGCTGTCAATTGACTATCTGCCTTGAGGAAAACAGACTTAATTTCTCTGGGTAAAAAGGTCCCTAAGAAACAACCATGTGGGTTTTAGTAACAGCTGCAGCAGCAGCTCCTGAGTGCCAGGACATTTTATTTTTTAGCTAAATCCGTATTATATTCACTGTGCTGTGCTAGTACAGGGCCTTACTACAGAAACTTGAGAAATATTTGTTGAATGAGGTAAATGGAATTTCCTGTAAATATATGAGTCTTTAAATCATTCAGTGTCACTCTATAAAAACCCACAGAAGATGTAACCATTAGAATTTAGTGCTAGGAAAACATTCATTTCCCCTGAGGAACAGGTACATGGCAAATGAGAATCACAAACCTGATTGTGTTGCTTTTTTTTGTGTGTTTTTGCTTTCACATTCAGGAATCTCTATATCAAATCTGAAAGTTTGATCTTTAGTCACAATGGCTATAATGACTTTTGTGAGTGCTGATGTTCTTTTTTCTTTTCCTCTGCCTTAAACTTTTATTTCTTTTTGGTTATCTCACCTTTTTCTTGGTGATGAAGATGTAAGTTATTTAAATCCATTGTGGAAAAAGCTGAGATATAAAAATTTTAAAAATGGAGTTTTTCAGATATCTGCCTCCCTACCAGATAGTGCCTTTCTCTCTTTGTTCCTAGGGAACATAAAACCTTTTTGACCCAGGAGGGAATTCTTATACCATGAGGCAGGTGAGGGCAGGTTCTCAAGTCACTGATGGAGGTCACAATAGGCTATCGTTCTAGGTGCCACTGCCAAATAGGGCTTAGGTCAAGTGAGTTGGGCTGACTGGCCGAGCTGTTGGTCAATGAGCTTGAAGTAAGCACATAGTGAGCACATAGGAAGCACTTATTACATGTTAGGAATGTGTGTTAGTATTATTAAGTATTATTTTACCCAGAGCTGAGTGAATGCTGAGAGGAGAAACTATGGTTGAGTTGACAGACTTCACTTTTCTAGGCATGTCTGTAGCTCTCAGCTATATAGACAAATGGAGAAAGCTGTTTCCACACTGTTAAACTTCATTTTTCTTTTAAGATTTATTTGACAGAAAGAGAGAGAGAGCACAAGCAAGGAGGAGTGGAAGAGGGAGAGGGAAAAGCAAACTCCCTGATGAGCAGGGAGCCTGTCATGGGACTCCATCCCAGGACCTTGGGATCATGGCCTGAGCTGAAGGCGGATGCTTAACTGACTGAGCCACCCAGGGGCCCCTAAACTTCATTCTTCACCCACCTAGCCAAAGAATATGGTTGAAGTAGGAAACATTCATAATACAGTCCTAAGAATCTGTTTCTTAGACAACAATTTCAGCTCTTAGAGCGTACGATTATCCTAAGAATTGTCATGCTTAGAAAAAACATAAATGAAATCAATTAGAAACAGAAAAATGAGGGGCACCTGGCTAGCTCAGTCAGTAGAGAATGTAATTCTTGATCTGGGGATCGTAAGCTCAAGCTCCAGGATGCGTGTAAAGATTACTTTAAAACAAAGAAAAATGAAATAAAAGTGGAGTGGTCTATGTCATTACAACTTTAAACACTTACGTCTTTTGGATAGTATCTGACTCAGAGATCTGGATGTGCTCAGCCACGGAAACACTAAGGGGGTCAAGGGTCATACTCCTCAGTTCCTGGTCTGTGAAGACAAAGAGCATCCTTAACAGCCAAGGACAATAGATTATATAGACAAGAATTCCAGACATGGGAAAATGTCTACCTGGTTAGTAGTCAATAACATGCAAATTAGCACCATGAAGTATGTTATACCTATAAAATTAGCAAATGCTGCACAAACCAGTACTGGCACATAGCGAGTGAAATTAACATTAGTAGACTCTTTGGGAAAGTGATATGACAGTATGTACCAAGAACCAGAAAAATATTCTTGTCTTTAGTCAGGAATCTCACTCCTGAGTATTTATTATGAGGAAATAATTCAAAAGAACAAGATTTTTGTATAAAGTTGTTATAACTTTGTTATTAATAATGAAAAAGTAGAAACAACTCAACAATGGAAAATTGGGAAAACAATTCATGATGCATTAATTTGACATTTAGTTTAAAAGATAATAAGCAGTATGGAAAATAGGATATAAAGAAGTAAAAATGTAAACTATAGAACAGTCTGTTAGAACTCTTTAAAATATATAAGTAAATGAATAAGGGCTGGAAGAAAAAACAGAAAAAGAAAATAACATGTTAGATTAGGAGATTTATGTGTGCTTAAATTTCTTCTTAAAACACCAGTGTGGTTATAACATTGCAAATGAAAGTGATTAAAAAAACCCAGACATTACAACTCAGTAGCAAAAAAACCAAACAATTAAACCAATTAAAAAATAGGAAGAGGATCTAAACAGACATTTTTCCAAAGAAGACATACAGCTAACAGGCACAGGAAAAGATGGTCAACATTACTAATTATCAGAGAAATGCTATTCAAAACCACAATGAAATGTCACCTCCTACTTATTTGAATGGTTAGTATCAAAAAGATAAGAAATAAGTGTTGACAAGGATGTGGAGAAAAGGGAATCCTCATGCACTGTTGGTGGGAATGTAAATTAGTGCAGCTGCTATAGGAAACAATATGCAGGTTCTTCAACATATTATCCAGCAATTTAACATCTGAGTACTGAAGAAAATGAAAACACGAATTCAAAAAGATACACCCCTATGTTCATGGCAGGCTTATCTGCAATAGCCAAAATATGTTAACAACCTAAGTGTCCACTGATGGATGAACGGATAAAGAAGGTGTGGGGTGTGTATACATGTATGCGCGCGCGCGCACACACACACACACACACACACACACACACAATGGAAATCTTGCCATGTGCAACGACATGAAGAGAACTTGAGGGTATTATGCTAAGTGAAAGAAGTCAGAGAAAAACAAATACTGCCTGATTTCATTTATATGTGGAATCTAAAAAATAAAACAGATGAACAAAACACAAAACTCATAGGTACAGGCAACAGATTGGTGGTTGCTAGAGGGGAGGAGGGTAGGGGGCTGAGAGAAATGGGTGAAGGGGATCAAGCAGACAAACTTAGATATATAAAATAAATAAGTCATGAGGATGTAATGTATTGCATGGTGGCTATAGTCAATAATATTTAGAGCATATCTGAAAGCTGCCAAGAGTGAATCTTGAAAGTTCTCTTCACAAGAAAAAAATTTTTTTTTGTAACTTTGTATGATGACTGTAGATAATAACTAGACTTATTGTGGTGATCATTTTGTGGTGTATGCAAATATCAAATTATTACGGTGTATACCTGAAACTAATATAATGTTATTTATCAATTTTATCTCAATTTAAAAATTTTTAATTGGGATGCCTGGGTGGCTCAGTGGTTGAGCATCTGCCTTTAGCTCAGGTTGTGATCCCGGGGTCCTGGGATTGAGTCCTGCATTGGGCTCTCCGCAGTAAACCTGCTTCTCCCTCTGCCTGTGTCTCTGCCTCTCTTTGTGTGTCTCTCATGAATTAAATAATAAACAAACAAATATCCATCAACAGGCAAATTGATAAACAAACTAGTGTATACATACAAATCAATACTACTTAGCAGTAAGTAGAAATGAAGCATTAATACACTTAGCAATATGTATAAATGTCAAAAAAAATTATGTGAAATGAAAGAAACCAGACTAAAAGAAAGTACAAATGGTATGATTCCATTATATAAAATTTTAGAAAACGCAAAGTAATCTCTAGTGACAGAAAGCATATCAGTGGTTGTCTAGCGTCAAGGGAGGCTAGATTTGGGGGAGGCATGAGGAAATATTTGGAAAACATGAATGTTTTATCTTGACTGTGGTGATGGCTTCATGGGAGTATACACATATCTTTTTTTTTTAAAGATTTTATTTATTTATTTATTCATGAAAGACACAGAGAGAGAGAGGCAGAGACACAGGTAGAGGGAGAAGCAGGCTCCATGCAGGGAGCCCGATGTGGGACTTGATCCCGGGACTCCAGGATCACGCCCTGGGCCAAAGGCAGGTGCTAAGCTGCTGAGCCACCCAGGGATTCCCAGTATACACATATCAAAACTTACCTAGTAGATCTTAAAAGTTCTCATTGTAAGAAGAGACAATTGTAACTATGTGTGGTGATGGATATTAATAAATTGTTGTGGTATTAATTTTGCAATATACATATAAATCACATTGTATACCTTAAACTAATACAGTGTTATCTGTCAATTATATCTCAATAAAACTAGGAAAAATACCCCAAATCATAGCAATGTTTAGTGTTTCAATGAAAGAAAAGTAATTGGCTGAATAATTTTGTATCCTATCAAATAACTACAAGTCATTAAAACCTGAGAAAAAGTAGAAAAAGTGAAGTTGACTGCATTAAAGTCTTTATAGGAAAAATATAGTATTATTTAACACTTTAAAAAACGTACTTAATGATAAGATTTAATATGTATAATTTATCATATGCCAACTATTCCTCAATAAAGAAAAAAATATATCTTTAAGATTTCACCTAATCATTCATGAGAGGCACTGAGAGAGAGAGGCAGATACGTAGGCAGAGGGAGGAGAAGGAGGCTCCATGCAAGGAGCCTGATGTGGGACTTGATCCCGGGACTCTGGGATCATGCTGAGTTGAAGGCAGACAGTCAACCAGTGAGCCACCCAGGAGTCCCAAGAAAAAATATTAATACAAATAAAATACCCAAAACAGTGTTGGCACTTGGTAAAAATAAACAAGAACCAACCAAAAAATCTCACCCAGGATCACTTGCATACAATTAATGCAAATATTTTGATGTACTTTCATGCATATATAATAGTCATTCTCATAGATTTAAAAAATAATTTATATATAATTTTAATTTACCTTTGTTATAATCTCTCATATAATATTCCTAAAAATGATTTTATTTATTTTTTTAAAAGATTTTATTTATATATTCATGAGAGACACACACAGAGAGAGGCATAGACACAGGCAGAGGGAGAAGCAGGCTCCATGCAGGGAGCCTGATGTGGGACTCAATCCCTGGTCTCCAGGATTAGGCCCTGGGCTGAAGGTGGCACTAAACCGCTGAGTCACCCGGGCTGCCCTAAAAATGATTTTAATAACAGCATAGCATTTCAGTGTACAGATGTACCATAACTGACTTAACCAATCATGTAACTTTTAAAATTCAGACTGTTACAAGTTTTCATAATTATAAAGAACTTTGCATAACATAACCTTGAAAGGAATGTTTTTGATTATTAAAAGACCTACTCTTTGTTCACATCTATGATTATTAAAAGATATACAATCTTTAAGGCACAGTGTCTATTGCCAAATTGCTCCCCAGAAAATTTGTACCAATTTATATTCTGAGAAAACCGTCATTTACTGCTTTCATTTATCACATGCTTATTAGATTTTTACTATACGCTGGGAACTGTGTTAGGTCCTGGGAATACACTGGGGAGTAGGACAGAAACATCTCCTAGTTTCAGGAACTTAAATTTTATTGGGGAAGATGGATATTAACATTAAATAAAACAAAACCAAAACATAAAAAACTTTTTAAAAGGAAAACTCTAATATTCAATTCCTATTTCTCTTTCTCTTTGAGTAGATTCTTTTAAAAATTTTTTTATTTTATTTAAATTCAATTTGCTGGGCACCCCCGGTGGCGCAGCGGTTTAGCGCCGCCTGCAGCCCAGGGCATGATCCTGGAGACCCTGGTTCGAGTCCCACATCGTGCTCTCTGTATGGTGCCTGCTTCTCCCTCTGCCTGTGTATCTGCCTCTCTCTCTCTGTCTCTATGAATAAATAAATAAAATCTTTAAAAAAAATAAATTCAATTTGCTAATATATAGTATAACACCCAGTGCTCAATTCATCACACGCTGTCCTTAATGCCTGTCACCCAGTTACCCCATCCCCCCCTCCCACCTCCCCTTCTGCAACCCTTTGTTTTCCAGAGTTAGGACTCTTCCGTGGTTTGTCTTCCTCTCTAATTTTTTTCTACTCGGTTTCTCTCCTTTCTGAGGTGTAGATTCTTGTGTGAATTACTTTACTTTCCTCAATTTTATTTATTTAAAGGTATAACTTTAAAGAAAGATTGGAAAAGAAAAAAAATTCACCTATAATCCTACCAACAATTAATACCACAGCTAATTCCTTTTTCAGCAAGGTTGTCCGTGACACCCCCACTCCTTCCCATGCAGACCACCTTTGTCACTTGTTTTTTTTTTCTGCCATTCCCAAATTTAAGGCTGGCATCTATTTCTCACACATCCTCCAGAGCGAGCAATGGGGACCAAATTTTTCATGTACAAGTGGTTAGGGAAACTGAGAAGGTTGACTGGGGTAGTACCTTGCAATTTATATTGTCTTGGATCATGTGCAGTATTAACAGAGAGTTGTAGCTGATTTAAGTATCTTCGTGACAAGGGGAATTCTGGGGAGTGGGGAAGGGCTGTTCCATTCCCTAACATGGCTTAAAATCTGTGGGTAAAACCTGTTTTACTGAAGACATTCAGGGCTCTTCATAGCTCTTTAGAAATTTGGGACAGGGCACTACAGGACCAGCAGAGGGCGCATTTGTATTGCCCAAAACCTGAGTTTCTACATTGGTATAATTTGACAATGATTAGAATTG